ATACACACATATACATAATCATAAATATACATACACACACTTACACATAAATAATATACCACACCCACTCTCCTTCTTACTCTGAGACACCATACTCTTTCTGTCTGTCTTTTGCATTTATTTGTTTATTTCTGTTAAATGTGTGTGTCAATAATTGCCAACATGCCAGCAAAGCTAAGTTAAAGGTAAACATTTTCACTTGAATAAAATAAAAAGCCCAAAGGCACACCATGGGCACAGCAGAAACAAAGAACTATTCAAAAAGTGACACAAAAAGCAAAATTTCCATTCTAGCAATTTCGATCTCTCTAAAGTTGTTTCTATCCTTCAGATTTGGCCGTTTGTTCTGTTCTCAGATACTTTCATGGTTGAGAGGAAAACGGGAAAAAAATTCTCCACAATTGGAAGGCTTATTTTACATAATTAATTGTTAACTTGAGTGACTGTGAAGTTGGGTTTCAGGGACATCAAAGACAACTGACGCTGAACATTGCAAACAAAAGACGAGGAAGTAAATCGTTTTTCACGACCAGTTCACTCACTTGTGGTCAATGGGAACGGGTTGCTCACCACACCTGCTTTTGTTGAGCGATTTGTTATGCTGTAGGCCGACTGTAAGTTAGGTGGTATTGTTACACCCCTCAAAACATTTTCTCTCTTACTCTTAATCTCTCTCTCTCTCTCTCTCTGTCTCACACACACACACGCGCTCACATTATGCGCACGCCCTTACAATTCAGTCTATCTCTCGCTTCCCTCTTTCCGGTTCAGTTTCTCTGGGCAGGGTACATGATCGAGATAATTGCATGGTCTCATCACAAATGTCGATTGTGTCCCCTGATTCCAAAGATATCTAATTAGCAGGTATTGGCAACCTGAATTCAATCAGCGCATGATTGTGCAGCCCTTGACAGACCCCAACGTGAACTGTTAGAATATAATTTGAAGAGTTTCGTGACAATTCGAACAAACACCAATACGAGTACTTAAAAAAAAACAACAACGTGAGTCACTATGATACATATTATGTATACAATCTTATTATTCGTGTGGATTTCGGCACAATGGCTCCAAGTCGTAGCCTCCTGTACTGACTGTTCCCATAGACGGGTAATTCACACGAGTCTATTTTGAAAAATTTTGTACATCCCCACACTTTGACACTCCTCTGTGAACTAGCAGACCAATCTTGATCATCAGGATACATTAGGAAGATCACTTTGAAATGAATGTCGACTTGATGAACGCTGCTGGATGCTTTATGTGATTTTTTCCTCATTAAAGTAAAGGTAAGCCCATTATAAAAAATAATCCTTTGACTTCCTCCCGCCACCCCTTCCTTTCCCAAAAATTCAGGACGAACTGTAAATGGCGGTGAATGTGAACACTTTTGGCCAAACTGTTAGGATACTGGATACAGAGTGGGCAACCTGGCTTCAAATTCGTTTTTGAATCTGAGCTCTTTCAAGTTCAGAGAGGAATTAAAGATCCCCAAAGATAAACATTAATTATTAAGAAGTTTACAGTGTTAAAAGGGAAACGACACTTACTACTCTCAACTGTCCATCACATGTTAAGAATTTTTGTCGAAAACATTCAAAGGATAAAGTGACAGTTTACAGAATTGTTTCTGATTTCCCAGTTTCTAATGACTTCATTGAGGACAAATCTCTTCAAAAGTTGGTTTGTTCCAGTCTTTCATCTCAGTTTCAAAAAGAGACATAGTACCAGACACAGACAGCTTGATAGGAGAACCGGTACAATCATAGCTATCATCATACAAAATCTTACCAAGTTGAACCCGGAATCACACTCAGTCTTTCTCTAGTTTGTTGGTTGGTTAGACTTCTAACAAAGACATGTACCATAATAATAACAGCTGAACCTGATACAAATAAATTGGAATTTTAAGAAACATGTTTCTGTCATAACGTGTTCAGTAGAAACATAAACAAACTCTATTGCACCAGCCATATCAACATAAGTAATGAAAACGGCAGCTTGCTTTTGTCTACTACAGTAACAAGTCAAAGCAAAGTCAAAGAAAAAACTAAACAAACTCACATCTCAATGCAATAGCACCTTTTAATTATTTAACAAAAATAATCATCAACAAAACAAGAAAAGTCATAGGAACATGAAGAGCTAATGAAATTCACCCTGTGAAGAGATACATGATTCTGTTCTCTATGCACTTTTCATGATGGGCATTATCACAGAATTAGGACAAGGTCTAAAACTCATACCAACCAGAATGCTCTCATCAACTCACATTCCTGTCAATCACTCTCTTTCTCTACATCTGGCAATGGTGAGCGTGCGTGTGTGTGTGTGTGTGTGTGTGTGTGTGTGTGTGTGTGTGTGTGTGTGTGTGTGTGTGCGTGTGTGGGAGAGTGTGTGTGTGTGTGTGCAGTGTGCATACCTGCCACTCTATGAAATCTATAAATCAAGATTTCGGGATCTCCAGAAAAAAAATTGGGATCTTGTGGGGTTATGCGCAACACTACGAGTACGATCGCATTGACCTCACAAGGACAAGGGACGTACTCTCCGCGAGAGTGACACAGTGAGTAAAAATCAAGACCGAGAGGCGAGCAGTTCAAGTGACAACAACTCAAGAGGTATGTCTTAGCTTTATTTAAGCGCTACTCCTACATTGGTGACCCCGAAACTTGGAACGGATTTCCAAGATAACATTCAACATGGGCGACGAAGTTCAGGCCTATCGCACAGCCATCACAAATCTCCGTCTGGTTTGTACAGCTGTAGAACCAACCGGTCTTCAACTGTTGTGTGACATCTCCACAGGGAAACTGCACCCAGTGGTGCTGCCAGACTTCCGGCGTCAAGTTTTTGACATCATACAAAGCCTTTCACATTCAGGGGTAAGAGCTACAGTACGACTTGTGTCCCAGAAGTTCGTGTGGCATGGTTTGAAGAAACAAGTTAGACAATGGGTAAGAGAGTGTTTGGATTGCCAACGATCCAAAGTACACACACACGTCCACGCCCCACTTGAGAAGATTCCAACACCAAAGAAAAGATTCAGTCACATACACGTGGACATTGTTGGACCTCTCCCTTCTTCCCATGGATACACTTATCTGTTTACAATCATTGACCGCAGCACACGCTGGCCAGAAGTGATACCACTACAAAACTCCTCTACTGTCACTTGTGCACATGCGCTCATCAGTGTATGGATAGCCCGTTTTGGCATCCCAATAGACATTACTTCCGACAGGGGTTCTCAATTCACGTCTGCCCTCTGGACGGAAATTATGGAAAGACTGGGGACTAAGATCCATCGAACGATTTCCTATCATCCACAGTCGAACGGAATCATCGAGAGATTCCATAGGACTCTTAAATCCTCACTCATGGCTCGACTGCATAGTCCCAACTGGATGGAACAACTACCATGGGTCATGCTGGGCCTAAGAACTGTTCCTAAGGAGGACATCGGAACTTCAGTGGCTGAGTTAATGTACGGAGAACCTCTCACAATTCCAGGAGAACTGATTGCTGCCACTGCCACCCCTTTCTTCTCCGTTATATCTTAATGCGTTTAGTGCCACAAAAACACAAAACTGATGAAGTTTTAGAAAAAGAAAGTGGTGTGATCTCCAGCCGAACATGGAACAATGCCAAGGATTATGTATACAACAAAATCAAGCAGCAGAAGTGAGTCTGCTTGTAGTTATTTTTCACCGAAATGAGTTTGTTCTTTAAACTTTAAGAGAAAAAGAACATGCTGCCAAGGGTATGTTTCATGGAACTGATGGACAGGCAGAGCTGATCGCTTTTTAGCCATGAAAGCACATGATGTGTAAGTGATCCAGTTTTTTTGCTTTTTATATTTTGATGACCTACTCGGTCTTGTTGAACAAGAATTGTTTTTGTTACCTGTTGTCCATATTACTTTTTCAGTCATGACTTGCCAGCACATATGGTGACATGTGGTTTTCAGACTCACTATTTTGTCATAATTGCAATAGATTATATTTAAACTAGTTAACAGCAGAAAGACCTATAGCATGCACGCACGAGTTACATAACCTCAAAAATAGTGGTGAATTTACACTCAACCGAAAGAATAAATTCTTTTGTTACAAATTTGAAAGTAGCCTTCAAAGGTGTATGTTCCCTTAATTATATTGCTGCTTTTAGTTTCAACGTCAAGAGAAAAATAAGTTGACTTGTTTGTTTTAGTAAGAGTATCACGGCGCTCGCAACGGCATAAGAGTAAGTTGATTTCTGCCCAATATGTTTCGGTACTAAATAAAAGTCCGCCAAATTGACTCCAACGTGTACTTTATACGTTTGTTGTTCTTTCACAGGCTTTTTGAAAACATATTTATTTTTCTTTCGGTGGATCAAGTGATAGCGCCAAACAGCTTATAAGAGTACACATGCTGTCGAATATTCGGCTATTAGAGCGGAAGCAGACCAGATACGGACTGTATTGGACCCCTAAACCCCCAACAGGCTGCTGCGGAATTGAAGAGTTGTTTTTAAGGTGCTTCAGCTGTATCCAGAGTAAAAACGCTTTACTCCAGATGAACTGTACAAGACGAAACTGGCGTCCAGCACTATGAACACAGCGGAAAAAAGATTCATTGTTGAAAGACGACATGGAGAGTCTGGCCTTACAAAGGACGTTTACAACTGTTCTAGACTGTTTGCTGGGGATGGGGGTATTCTGATGGGGATGCTTGTCAGGGAATTTTGGATTGTTTTGTGGAAGAGGGTGGCTTTGGGAGGGTGGGACAGGGTGAAAACGGGGGTTTTCTTTTCTGTGCTTGGCAGACCAAAGCTATGAGGGACACTCTTCAGAAGTTCCCTGAAGTCTTTGTGATGGACTGTACTGTACGTATGAAATAAATAATTTCCTCTGTCCTTTGTTAACTGTGATGTTTTTAGACAGGGAGGGTCATGGTATGCCAGTCTTCCATGCCATTTTGTCGCGTTTTTTTTCCAGATACTGACCGATTTCCCAACTGCTAGGATCAATCTCTTTCCATCAGAACGTTCGTAATTGTGATGAATAAATCGATAGGACCCCATTTTCTATACTTTTCATCAGAGATCTCACTATAGGGGAAATAAAGGTGTGTGTGTGTGTGTGTGTGTGTGTGTGTGTGAGAGTGTGAGTGTGTTTAAACTGACAATCTGACAGAGCCGGTGGTTGGAGGGCACCACTGGTAGGTTCTACTTCTTTTCCTTACTCTCTTTTATTTCTGTCAGTTGGTCTGTCTGTTTTGGGCTTTTCCTTCCATTAACTGACCATAACTGACCATTATCGTTTGTTGATGTGCCTTTCTTTACTCAAACAAACGATTAGACAGAAAACAGCAGTTTAAAATCGAGAAGATGATTGATGATGATTGAAAATGCCTCAAGTATTGTCTGAGGTGGCAGCTGTGGAATTTACACCCTGAGGAGAATCTGAGGAGGAAACAGCAACTTCGTTTTGTTGTACTTCTCCTCTGACCCAGGACATTCCTGACTTTGTCATCTGACCAGACATCCCTTGAGAAGATGACATAAATGGAGACGGATAGCTATCAATACTTGCAGCAGGTAATTTTGGTATTTGTACAGATGAGGATGGTGTATTATTGCCAGTGGTGAGAACAGTGTCCTGGTGAATGGTGGAAATAGATGGAGAGGAAGGTGCCGACGTCACAGTTTGGTTCCCAGCTGACGATGCCAGCTGCTGATACCTCTGCCTTGCCTGGCTCCAGCGCTTTGCTTTGTTGGCATCCTGAACATTGTCTAAAGACAATGAAACACCTTGAGAAGATCCCAGGCCTGCACTCTGGTTGACACGAAGCTCCACGTTGATCTGAAAATAACAGAAAAATCAAAGTCAACATCCTGATACAATATGTTATAATTACAAACAAAGTTGATTTTCCAATATATATAAACTAAATTCTGATCAAAGTCAATGTTCCACTTTGACATGTAAATTACATAATCATCAAAGTCAATATTCCTATCTAAAATACCCAGTTCTTTTTGTTTCATTTTTTAAATGACTTCAAACTTCCAACAAATATGAAAAAGTTATTTAGAAAGAAAAGCATATAAGGCAAAGAGGCTGGAGAAAAGAATAAAGAAGAAGGAAGTACAGGATCAAACCAACAATCTTACAACTGACAGTTCGAAGCTTAACCAACAGATTTGATACCTAAAGTAGAAAACATGGATCAAACACAAGTAAAGAATACACTTACAGGTTCTGAAATCCCAGCGTTATCTCGACCGAGCCCTTCTCCTTCTTTCCATCCCATCTTAGATAGGAGTTTGTGCCCTTTGTTGGTGGCAGTGATGGGGCTGCAACATAAAATGAAACAACAGTGAAACACAAGAGAAAACATCATTATCTGAAAGCTGGAGGTGACTATGTCCATTTTTTCATTTTTGGAGAAAAACAAATCTTTATGCAATGTGTAAACAGGAAGCACTTATATATAGATTGGAACTCAGATGCGATAAACTCAGATTCAATGAAAGGAGATAGATTTCCCATATTTTTTTTAATCGAACATTAAAATCAACAAAATAAGTTGCATTCAATTCAACAAACACATACTCTATTCTAATAAACAATTGATCGCACTTGCATCGTGGATCATTACACGTTTAACTTAGCCTATTGCGTATATCTTGTGCAACCAATTAGAACCCTACTTTCACACCAATATGTGTGTTCTTGAGACGCTTGTATGACATGACATGTGCGCCAGTATCAAAAGAGGCTGGTTGGGTGGCTATTGGTGTATTAGTGCGTGTGTCTGGGGGAGTTTTCTTTGTTTGTTTCTTTGGGGGGAGGGGGGGGAGGGGGGGTAAGTACAATTGTTTCTGACGTGAAAAGTAGGAAGAGACACAGACACGTCATAATAATATCCATCCTCTTCTCTACAGCTACTAGTCAAGGAAAGGCTAGTCTAGACACAGATCTAAATCTACATTATAAGTGGCGCGCTGGTCTTTGGAAACAGACATTGTTGTACGCTCTGCACTACATTGTGATGCAGCTTGTTGCTCACAGTGCTATAACGAACACTCAGATCCAAAGAAATTGAAGGTCGGACTGGACGACTTTGTTACAACCGAGTATCACTATATATGCAAGGAACTGTGACAGTGTCAAAAACACGTAATACACAGTACCATAAGTTATGACAGGGAAAGATAATACCTATCTGTCCATCCATTCATCCACCTGTCAGTCAATTTGTCTCTCTCTCTCTCTCTCTCTCTCTCTGTGTGTCTCTCTTTCTTAGGTCAGAGAGCCAAAAACCCCAGGTTTTTTTTTTATGACCTCACTTTTGAGGCTCCACATTTTACCAAATAATTTCTTACATATTTGTAGTTTTCCAAATGCTGACCTATTTTCTGACTGCTAGGGGGGAGAGAGA